CACACCTTCTGCAGGGCGGCTACCGCGTGCCCACGCACAAGCACTCTCTGTCTTCTGGCAACTTCTCCGCAGCCCCCGCCGCCGGGGAGGGCGCCGCGAACCCGGGCTATCAAAGTCCACAGAGCCCGGTGCTCACCGGCCCCGACCCCGGCTACGATCAGCCCAAAGCCGGGGGCTGCTTATCCGCGGAGTGTGCACAGCCCGACTGCCAGCCCCCCACGCATGATGCTTACTCAGCGCCCCGAGACTGCCTCAAACCCCTCAACCAGACGGCCGTGACCGCTCTGCTGTGAACACAAGTGAACACAATGTGAAAAGCCTGCTGTGGTACTGAGCACGGGGCTGTGCGCGGCGCTGGAGGAAGGGAGGTGTGTGTGTGAGTGTATGTGATTGTGAGTGTGTGTGAGTGTGTGTGTGAGGGTAGGCGTGAGTGTGAGTGTAGGTGTGATTGTGTGTGTGTGATTTAATAGGATCCTGCGGTGGCGTCCCAGCGACCACCCCTCATACTGTTTACAAAGTTGTGCAGTTGGTTTTGTTCTGACCCTTTGGGCGCGTGTCTGTTGGGTTTTGTTAGGCTAGAAAAATTTTTGTTAGACATGAAAATGTTTAGACGGCATTTTCATGTCTCTAACTGTGATATTGAGCTGCTCTGGTGTGCAATGTGCAGTCTGTACAGAGTTGTATTTAACAAGAGTGAAAGTAACTTAAGTTCGCTTTATCGGATTTGAGTTGTGCGCAGAGGTTAAGCGGGAGAATGCAGCTGTTGCAAAAACGTATATAATACTGTGTTCACTTTTTAAAGATATTCCCTCTGATACTGTGTTAGCAGCGGGTCTGTTTAAACTTAATCTTGTTATTGTGTCTCATTTCCTTTCCTTTGATAACTAGAACTAAAAGCATTGTTAGCATTCTTCTCCTGGAAGGAATTAAATTACTTGAAGCATGAAAAGCACACCAGGGTGGTTGTTAACAATTATGATTGTAGATTAAACACACACACACACATACAACCACCTCAGCAACTGCTGGTCCTTTAGATTCCGGTTCAGGTGGGGATGTGCAGTGGCGGGTCTGGGCCGGCACTGGGCAGGCCTCTGCCTGCAGGGGACCTCCCTGCCCTGCCCCAGAGGCCTGCATCCCAGAGGAACTGGCCTTCATCACACTTTGCTTCTTCCTCAGGTCAGATCTGGCAGAGGCTGGCTTTCACATGCACATCCACCTTTACAAACTACCTGCAAAGCCAAATGCTGAGACTAGCAGCAACCCAGAGGGTGGGCTCTCCCAACGAAATGAAGGTGGCACAGCAATTCCAGTCTGAATCACTGTGCCGGGCGCTGTTGTACCTCAGAGTAAAAATATTGCTGAGGTCAGACGCCCACACTCTCCGTGCCTTTTTTCTCTTTCCCAGAAAGAGCACATTGTACTCTGTGTGTTCTTACCGAAGTGACCGAGGCCGAATCTAAGTAGACCTCTTTTATGCTGAGGTTGTTGGGAACTGAACTGATTTTGTAAGGAACACTTTTCCGGAGTATGTGTCTAATTCCCCATGAGCCCAGACCTCAGCTGTACCTCATCTCCAGTGGCTTTTATTTGAGTTTGCTTCGTGAGATCACTGTGGGGGATTTCACCTCTTTTGCCAAAGAGGAAAATATGTTTGTTTGTTTTTACAGAATATGTGGACCCCAAAAAATCCTTTCTCTAAATAATGCATTATAATCTTACTTGTATGATTATAACTTTCTGTGAAAAATATAAATATTATAATAGCGAGGGTGCTGGAATGTCACAGACTATCTGTTGGTTATTTTGGAGCATAAATGGGATACTTTGTGGAATTCACATGGTTTTATATGGATACTAATATAATAAACTACGCCAAATCAAAGGCCTATGCCTCTCATTGGTGTCTGCTTGTGGCTCAGGCTCCCAAAACAGACAAGTGGGACAGTGCAAGAAGCATGGGCTTGGGGGCAGATGGGTCTTGGTTCCAAACTCTGATCGGCCACACAATAGCTGAAGGCAGGGCGAGTTGTGGGAATCAATGAAGATGACCAGATTAGCACAAGCAGAGGCCAGGCAAGAGCTTGCCTGCTACCGCAGTGGAATCAGCCACATCACTTGCATTTTGGCAGAGAGAGGCTCCAAGGCAGCAAGGAGTGGGAAAGGTTTACAGTGGGAAAAGAGGGAGGCTTTTCTCCCTTATTTCTCATTTTGTACATGCTTTTTCTCTACTGGTTCATGATTAGTTTACCAGGAGCTGGCAGTTTTTGTCTTTTCCCCCTGAAAAAAATCCATTTTTAATTTTTCTTTAGTTCTCCTATTTTTCTGCCTCAGAAGCTCACAACCCATTTGTTACAGCCCCAGGTGGAAGTAAAACCGCCTTAAACAATGGCAAGGATAACCCTAGGGAGGCCCCTAGTGAGATTTACACCTTCCTCTGACGTCACCAATATCCTTGTTGCAGCTTTGCTTCCTAAAGAATATGGGGGCTGTGTGTACACAGGAAGAGGTCGTGTGTGTGTGTGTGTGTGTGTGTAGGGTTGGAGGGATTGGAATGCTATAGTCTCCAGGACCTAAGAACCTACACTGTAACTTCAGTTCTGGCATTCTAACACTCAACTACAGAAAAATTATTTCTAGTGCAGTTTAAACCCAGCTCAACCATAACCTTCATTTCTGAAAATCAAAACTGAATCAATCCTAGGTTTCATCAAATCTTGTGTCATTTAAGAAAAAAGAAATATAAGTATTGAGGAAAAAGATTGAAAAGCTGACAATTTCATCTATATTTCCTCTTTTCCTCTTTGAAAGTGGCCAATTAAAATAGAATCAAGCCCAGCTGGCATGGCTCAGTGGTTGAGTGTCTGTCTACCTATGACCCAGTAGGTCATGGTTTGATTCCTGGTCAGGGCACACCCCCGGGTTGTGGGCTTGATCCCCAGTGTGGTATGTGCAGGGGGCAGCCGATCAATGATTCTCTTTCATCATTGGTGTTTCTATCTCTCGCTCCCTCTCCCTTCCTCTCTGAAATCAATAAAAATATATTTTTTAAAAAAGTAGAATCAAGAGTGGGATTTGAGTCCTTGCTCTGACACTACCTGTGACCCTCCACAAATAATATAAATTTTCTAGTCCTCAGCTTATTCATCCTCATAATGGAGTATTTTTTTTCTACTGAACATGTGTGTGACACATGAAGCCACAAGTAAACATTTGAACACATGTATTGCATATGAGGACAGAGTATTATATTTGATAATCTTCATAAAGCCTTTCAGCTCTAATAGACAGAAATATTACATTTGGAATCTGCCGCCCCCTACTGTCACTTTACCAAATTGCAAATTTTACCTTCCAAAGCCATAGAATTCAAGTTTTTGTCTGTTTTACATTTTGTATATCTAATTTTCCTTCTTATAGTTCATTAATCTACCTTCCTATTTACAAGCCAGATTTTTTTTATCCTCACCTGAGGGTATGTTTTATTGATTTTAAAGAGAGATGAAGGGAGAGAGAGAAACATTGATGTGAAAGAATCATTCATCTGTTGCCCCCTGTATGCTCCCAGACCAAATCCTCAATCTAGGTATGTGCCCTGACTGGGAATTGAACCCAAAGCTGGGCACTCTAGGTGCACCCCTGTGTGCACAGTCTTGTAGTTGAACCTTAATTGCTGTTGGCATCACTGGGAGGAGTTGACCTCTAGGTCAATTGGCTGTGAGGACCAGCTGTGACTACAGTGGGAGAACTGCTGTGCAGGAGACACCCCTATGGAGCAGGACTTGTTTTGGTGGAGCTTTGGTGCTCACTGAGTCTGCCTCTTGAGTTTGCCACTTATGGATGTGCACAGTTGTAATCTGGCATGGTCTGAGGCTGTTCACCAGGTACACTGGCTCTAGGGCCTCCAGGATGGTACAAAGTTAACCACTGGCTGGGGCCACCTCACAGGTGCTACAGAGGGATCTGCAGAGGGCTGCTATTTGCTATTTGTATTGGGCTTGGAAGTGCCCAGATGAGGCCCAGGTGTGAAGCAAGGCAGGCTGGTGCTAGTGCCGGGTCTTGGGGCTTTTATTGATAGGTTTGGGGCATGCTGTCACCAGCTGCAGCTTGTTTGAGAAATTTTAGCTCTGAAGCCTGAGCCAGAACAGGCCATTCATATGGAAAAGCTGCTGCAAACAGCTTGGATGGGGCTGCAAATTGGATGGGGCAGAGTCTCAAGGAATCCCCAGGGTGGAGCAAACTGTGGGCCATGCTGATATGGCTGCCAGTCAGCCCCGAGAAATGGAAGGTCCCAGCACAGAAACAATGACCCCTGCACGCTCCCCGGTCTTGGAGAAAGCTGCCCCAAGTTCCTGCCCCAATGCTGTATGTGTTTGAGTCCCCCAGTCCTGGAGCTCAGAGGAAGCCAGACCATGTAAGTTTGTATGTGGGCCCTTGAAGAGGAATACCTGGGATTCCAGCCACCTCCTAGTCACTCAGCCACAATCCTCGCTGGCTTTTACAGCCTATGGTCGTGGGGACTTCTCTTCCCAGCTCTGAGACCCTGGGCTATGGGTCTGGTATGGGACTGGGACCCTTTGCTCCTCTCTGGCGGCCTCCACAGAGAGATGCTCTCCCTCCTGATTTGAAAAACAGCCCACAGGGATGCCTGACCCGCCCATTCTGCGCCTTTGCACGTCCTACCAGTCTCAGTGTGCTTTCTTCTTTACTTCTCTAGTTGTAGGATTTTCATTCAGCCAGCTTTCAGGTGGTTCTGAATGATGGTTGATCTGTGTTTTAGTTGTAATTTTGATGTGGTTATGGGAAGCGGTGAGTACAGGTGTTTACCTACGCTGTCATCTTGGTTCTTTACTTTCAAACGGTGTCTTTATGTTTTAGGTGTGTTCCTTATACACAACTTGTTGCTGGATTATTTTTATCAACTTGAATTTTTTCTTTTAATTGGAGATTTTAGTCCTTGATCAAGCTCTCTCAAAATCCAATCCCAGTAACGTTTGCTCAACCCCTGCCAGAATATACCAACACTTACATTGTGGGTGTCCAGTCTTCTCCCTTGCACATCCACAGCCAGGTTTTGCTATAATTTAATCCTGGCTATAAACCTTGCAGCCAAAAGTAGTGGGTACAGGTGGGGGTTGGGTAGCAGCATCTCTAACACCTTCCAGCCTAACAGAGGTGACTCATTAGGGAAGAGGTGGGGGTGCTTCTGTAAGACCAAGAGTGTAGGCACTGCAGAGTCAGCGTCCTCAGGGGTATCCATCCAGATGTCCCCATGGCACCATGCCCCCAAGGTTTTCTCTACCAGGGCCATAACAATGAGATGGCCAGCCTAAAGCTCAGCTGTTTCAACCCGGGCCTCCTTGTAAGCTTCCCAGAGGTCCGCTGGCTCTCCTATTTCAGCACTAACAGCTTGTTAACAACCCTTAGTCTCATTATCTTTCTTCAGGTCAACACAACCCAGCAGTAACCAACCAACATTGCTATTCTTGTAGGCATTGTTCTCCCCATGTTAGCAAATGCATGTGTCACTGAACTTCTAGAGAATTCCTCTCCATGAGGACATTTGCCCCAGTTACCACTTGTGTCTGGAGTGTCCAAGACCATCCTCAGATTGAGTCATTTGCTAGAAAAACCCATAGGACTAAGCATAGAAGTGCCCTCACAAGTGTGACTTATTAGAGAACATCAAACAGAATCAGCCCAAGGAAAAGGTACATGAAGAAAACAGAGGAAGCCAGGCCCAAGCAGAGTCTTGTCCCCGTAATCGCACAGGATGAGCTTAACTCCTCCCGCAATGACCTGTGACATGTACAAAGGACAGCCGTCAGGGAAGCTGGCCTGAGCCTGGGCGTGGGAGGCAGGGTTCTTATGGGGCTCAGTCACATAGGTGCACTCTGCTGGCACATCTCCAAAATCTCAGATTCCCAGAAGGAAAACAAGTGTTCAACATAAACCCTATTGTTTGTACAAACATCTCAGACACAGTAAATAACTCTTATCAGCTAAGCAATGGGGGAAACACTCCTAAAATTCTCATTGCTGGACATTAGCCGAAGGCGACCTTGCGAACAGGTCTTTGTAAGGGTAACAGGTTCAGGCCTGTTAACTCTTCTCTACACACCCTCTGTGAACTATTCGGTAACTGGGCCACGACCTGTCCCAAGCAATGCATGTATCCTAGGTACAGACCAGGACGTCATCCTCTCTCCCCTCCAGGTGGGAGATGAGCCACTTCCTAATCTCCTATTAAACTGTTTCCTCAGCTCTCACCCTGGTCCACTGTTAGTCTGGGTCCTTCAAAAAGCAGACACCAAGGCCAAGAAGGGCTCAGCCATGTCAAGGATTAAATAGGGGCAATTCTGGTGAGGAAAGATCAGGAGGGAGCTGGGGTTGGTCGGAGGCTGGGAGGCAACCAGATCTCAGGCAGGCCTGGCCCCAGGTGAATGAAAGGAGGCAGGAAGCCTGGGTGAAAACAACTTGAACTTTATTGTAATGCTAAGGGAGTCTGGCAAGGCTGTCAGGGAGTCAAGCCAAAGTCATGAAGCCATAAACTCCCTCTCAAGATCAGTGGTTGAGAAGCAGCAATAGATTTCAGAGCGCAGCAGCTGGGCGGGCCTTGTCCGCATGTGCCCTCCTGGGGATGACAGATGCTTTCTCAGGCTGCCACAGCAGTGATCACAGCTTTCACAATACACCTGGAAAAGATTTATTATCAAACACTTAGCACCCACACAGTCATTTATACCTTTTAGTTAAAAAAAAAAAATTGTCATCCCACATAAAATAGAATGTTGATTAACAATGAGAATACAGAGGGAGAACCGAAGATGGCGACATAGGTTAACACCAGAGATTCACACTACCTAGTAGGATTGATTTTCTAATTATT